CCTTCTGGTCTGCAGTTCAGCATCTTAACCATTTGAGGTAGGGTATAAATGAAGTAAATAAATAAGGTTTTCCATATAAAGCTTCCCATATCCCAGTGCTGACCAATAATCTGTTCAGACTGCACACATGTTGAATTGGATCTTGACATTCTGGATGGAGCTGCTACAACTGGCAACTCTAAGCAGCACTGGGGTGGGAGCACTGGGGCTTACCAAATCCCAGGTTCAAGAAAGCATTTGACGCTTCTGTGCAGACAGGAGCTATGTGTTCCCTTGTAGCCTGCCCTTATTATTCAGTGCAAAGGACGGTACTGAGCAGCACCGTCTATCAAGCTGTGGTCTCATAACAGGTCAGAATAGCAGATCAAACTCATAGCTCCCTGGCTAGAACCAGCAAGGAACAAATGCACCACAAGTAACTGATCTGGCAGCCCTGAAGAGGTCCGGAAAGAGCCCACCTGTGCTGTGAGTGTGACGCTCCTGTTTGGGGCTGCAGAAGGATCCAGAGAGAGCCACCCCTGCTTTTCACTCCTGCTGCAGATCAAGGCAAACCCATGTTTTCTGCTTCCTGGATGTTACAGAACGGAGTGAAAATAGCCTCCTGTCAGGACCAGCCAGGACAATGATCAGTCTTTTGAAAAAAGTGATGCTGGAATCAATGCTATTGATTTCCGCCTTATGCTTTACTTTCCGTTCCAAGACACCGTGATGTGTATTTCAACCAGGGAGACAGGCAGTGCTGCCTGACACAGTGACACTGGAATTTATGATTAACTCGGGGCTTGCTATTGACTGTTGACTAATGAGATCAACGCAGGATGTCGCTGAGCAGAGGCTCTCTCCTTTCCTGGCTCCCCTCCCATTTCACGGCTCCTTGCTTCCTCCACAGTTCCCAGGGCAGCCAATACAGGAGAGGCCCCTGGAGGCTTCAGGGCTGCACCAACATGGGATCAGCTGCTACAGGAAGATGTCTCGGAAGTCTCTGAGCTCTCCCTCCTCCTCTCGTGGGCTTTCTGGCTCTCAACAGACCAGTGGGATGAGATGGGAAATGACGGTCTGCTGTCCTGCCTACAAACTTTAGTCTTATCCTGATTTGGCTACCTGACTTGCAGGCAAGAGAGCAAACTGCCGTTTTTCTGTTATTCAATTGGAATGTCATGGAAAATGGTGGTCCTTTGGGATCTAGGGAGCACTCCGTCTTGAAGCTGCACACATGATCCGGAGAACTTCCTATTGCTCCTTCCATAATGGCAAACCAGGGCTTCCTGGTATATCTGAACACAGCCACTGATTTAGTAAGAGCTGCTTACAAGTCTCAAAACTAAGCCAGGTACAGGAGGAATGTGAGAGCTCCCAGACAGGTGTGGGGGGGGAATGAACGAAATGTTAAAAAGTACTTTCCCCATGGACTCACCCCCCCCCACCCCAATTTCTTCTGACAGAAAATTTTAGGTCAGCACTGGGGGGGGGGGAATCCTATTAAATATTTTATCTTTTAGAATGAGTAAGATGTTTCTTAAGGGAAGGTTCTTCATACTCGAAATGTTTTCAATTTTTCTCGTGGAAGAATTGTGAAATTTAGGGGAATACTGAAAAACAAAATCCTGTGAAATACTTTCTCTTTCTGAGCTAGAAAAAACTTGTCCCACAAAGCGTTTCACTCGATCCAAATGTAAAGCATGAAAATGTCTGAGGCCTTTCTCAATTCTTGCAGTGGAAAAACTGGGAAATTTTAGGGAATACCTGGGGGGAAAACCTTTATACTGTAGGGACATGCAACATTTTCAAGAATTTTTTTGGTCTGATGTAATTTTTTTTTGCAATAATTAATATGCAACAATATGTTCTAGCTTAATATTCAAATATGCTGGCAGCCCATCCCTACGGTGACTCCATGAGACAGTTTCTACTCAAATAGATACTTTTGTTTACTACAGAATCTGTTTTCTACCTTCAGCTTTTATTTTTTCCTACTTCCCAGAATGCAAAAATTAAAGATACAACTGCTATAGTAACACAGGGCCCTACAGTTTCCTCAAGTATTGAGTATACTTTTTCTTACAGAAAATGAACATATTTATACTTTTAAATTCCATAAATATGCCAGATAGTACAGTTTTATATACTAAGCTATAAATTATGCATTTTATGTTGCTCAATCAGTAAAAGAAATTTAGGTTTGATACGAAAGTATTGCATATATTTCAATCCCCCCCCGGTTGGAAAAAAAAGAGTTAGAAATAATTCAAACCCCCCCCCCCCCAGATTTCCACAAACCCAAACCAAGCCAAACCTGTGGATTCAAAATTTCTGGACACTTCACACCTCTAGATCCAACCCACCGCAAAAGGCCATTTCCCCTTCCTCACAGATCGAAGTTGTTTTAAAGTGGCTGGGATCCAGGGATACATCAGCAGAAACATAAACAGACTTTGTGTCGATCCACATGTGCAAGACCTTGGGTGGCCAGTAACACTTTCTTCCCTATACATTCAGGTTCCCAGAAACTGGCCGTACAACATCTCATGCTAGTGGAAATGCAAGTGGAGGCAGCCAACATGGTCTTTTCCTTGGGTTTCCACTTGGGAAAACAGAAATGTTGTGCTAGATCACATGAAGCTGCCTTGAGTCGGGCTCTTTTTGTAGCAGGAACTCCTTTGCATGTTAGGCGACACACCCTGAATGTAGCCAATCCTCCAAGAGCTTACAGAGCTCTTCTTACAGGGGCTACTGTCAGCTCTTGGAGGAATGGCTACATTAGGGGGGGTGTCGCCTAATATGCAAAGGAGTTCCTGCTACCAAAAGAGCTCTATCAGACCAGATCACATGAAGCTGCCTTATAGTGTATCAGATCCATCAAAGTCAGTATTGTCTCCTCAGCCTGGCGGCAGCTCTCCAAAATCTCAGGCTGAGGTCTGTCACATCACCTCATGCTTGGTCCTTCCAACTGGAGGTGCCAGGGATTGAACCTGGGACCTTCTGCAGGCTGCTCTACCACTGAGCCGCAGACCCTCCATGGCCCAGCCCTGCATCTGGGCTTGGCATGTTCCTGGTTGCTTGGCCTCCTCAAGCCTCTTGGACAGTGAAGGTCTCCTTGCACCCAAGGAAAGCACCACCCTTAGCAGAACTGGTCTGCAGAATCCAAACCCAATGAAGAGAAAACAAACTATTTTGGTGTCAACAATGCACACATTTCTCAGGAGGCACTGGCCTAGACGAAGCTGTGCTTTTGTAAGTACTTCTTTCAATTCTTTTTTTTAAATGCCGGAACTTTTATTTGTGTATTTTATTTAAAGTTAATAATAATAATAAAAAAAGCTGCTGTCTGATTCTCCAAGGATAACTTCAGAGTCATTCAAAATGATTTAAATGGATTCCTCTAGCCAAACAATGCGGCCCTTAACAATAGGAAAGTCTACAGAACAGAACAAAATCTGACTAAGCAGATAAAAGCAAGACGCGTTCCCCGCCGCCCTCAGCCGGCTAAGTAGGGCAGCCCTGATTGCGAAGGCGTTCACAGCATCCCTGAAAGACCCCTCCCCCCGGGATATGAAGAAGGCCCCTGCAGCCTTGCAGCAGAGAATGATGGATGAGGGCCGAGAAGGCCCAGGCGTCAACCCCCACCTCTGTTACAAAGCTCACCGTGTAAGCATGTATTTGTCTATTCAAAACACCTATTAGCCACCTTCCTTCCTGACGGAGCTCAAGACAGCTTATAGTATAGATAAAAACACAAAAACAAAACCCGAAATTTAAAATCACAGTTTAGGACTGCTAGTAACTTAATCTAATGCACTCCTAAATAAAACCATCTTCATCTGCCTCCTGAAGATCAACCGTGAGGGCACCAGGCACACCTCCCAGAGGAAGCTGCTCCATAACTGTGGGGCTGCCCACAACAAGGTCCACCAGACGAGGAGGGCCTCTCCCTGAGATCTTAATTCCCAGGCAAGAATGTATGGGACAAGACAGTAACCTTGGGCTACTTGTTCTCTCCGAGGGTTGCGGAGAGCACAAAAGGGATCTGGTGGAAAACCCGAGCTCCTTACAGCAAAGGCCAGAGAGAGTTCAAGAGGTTTCCCTCCCTTTCACATTGGGCTCTGAGAACACCCGCCTCATGTGCAAGCAACCCCCTCCCCACAAGACACCCAAGTACCTGTGGTCCTGGGCAGTGTACTTCAGCAGTTCTGCCAACTGCAAGGGGTATTTGCAGATCTTCTGCACAGGGGTCAGAAGGAACCCGTCAATGGCGATGTCAATCATCTGCTGCAAGAGACGGCATGCTTCAAAGAAGTGCTGGTACCGGCCATCTTTCATCAGCTTGGAGAGTTCCATGCACGCATCCAAGTGATTGTTACAGTACTCGGAATAGATCCAGAAGCCGTCTTGCTGCAAGGGGGGGTAAGTCAGAAAGGGCAGAGAGAGAAAGAAAAAGAGCACATGTGACACAAGCCATGAAGCACCAGCAGCCCAGCTCTGTAGCACCACTGAGGAATCAAACAGCTGCCTCTGCGTAGGGGATGGCCTCTGAAAAGGGTCCGGAGGCTTCAATTGCTCTACAGTGTAGCGTCCAGGCTACTGTTGGTGACAGGACACAAAGATCTGCTCTGGCTCCCCCTGAAGAGGAGCCATGGCGCAGTGGTAGAGCATCTGCCTGGCATGCAGAAGGTCCCAGGTTCAATCCCTGGCATTTCCAGATAAATGGACCAGACAGTAGGTGACGGGAAAGACCTCTGCCTGAGACCCTGGAGAGCTGCTGCCAGTCTGAACAGACAATCCTGACCGAGGGTCTGATACAGTTTAAGACAAATGTGGACAATTATGACCTAATCAAAGAACAAATGTAAAGAAAACAGTCGTGAGAGTCTGACCCATATCAAGACTTGCAAAGAAAATGCTTTCTGTCTATTATGGTCAACAAACACTACAACACAATAAACAAAATCCTTCAAATCATAAGAAAATCCTAGTGTGAAAATACATCATCAATGTCATCTCCGGATTATATAACAACGTTTCAAAATTGGATCTTCCTCAGGAAATATTCTGTAGTGTACAAAATTACAATTCTTTAGAATATGGACAACGTGAAAAATGAGAAACAGTATAAAATCCAAATACAGTCTTACTTACTTTACATTTGTTCTCTGATACAGTTTAAGGCAGCTTCACGTGTTCTATCTATTGTTTCTGGGAACAATTCAAATACCTGGTTTCTGAGCTTTAAAGCCCTAAATGGCTTGCAGCCAGAGGACTCAAAGGATCACCAGTTAAAAGACACTCGTCCTCACAAGCCCTGCACTCTGCGCCCTCCTCGGCAGGGGTCAGATGGGCGGAAACCAGAGACAGGGATTTTTTAGTGTGGGCAACTCAATTCAATTCAAGTTTATTACGGTCATAGACCAGTATAATCTTACTTACTTTACATTTGTTCTCTGATACAGTTTAAGGCAGCTTCACGTGTTCTATCTATTGTTTCTGGGAACAATTCAAATACCTGGTTCTGAGCTTTGAAGCCCTAAATGGCTTGCAGCCAGAGGACTCAAAGGATCACCAGTTAAAAGACACTCGTCCTCACAAGCCCTGTACTCTGTGCCCTCCTCGGCAGGGGTCAGAAGGGCGGAAACCAGAGACCTATCTTGTTAAGTGTGGGCAACTCAAGTTTCAAAAGCCCTCCAACCTGAGGTTTGCCCAACAGCTGCCTTACTGTCTCTCAGGCACCAGGCCCAAACAATTCATTTCACCCCCAACTTTTAACTCGGGGGTACCGTCGGCTTCTAAGCCTGAGGGCAATTTGTGATATTTATGGTTTTTTTAAAAAATAATTATTTAGTTATTGCTTTTATGATTTCATTGTATTATTTTACCTTGGGTACCTCAAGTGAGTCTCAGGAGGTGGCATAAAAATGTTTTAAATATAAGGTAAAACTGGAGTGTGGATTAAGCTCACACACCTGCCTTCCAGGGATATGGCCAATCTGATCATTTAAATAAGGTTAGAGGACACAATCACATTTTATGGCAGTAAATTCCACTACTTTGCGCTGGGTAAAGAAGAAAATTTCACTTGGGAAATTTCAGGCATTTCTGCCAGTGCTGAAGAGATCAAAGCGTGTAAGCAACTGAAACAAGGAAGTTATTTCCAGAATGTCTTCTTTTACAACACAATGATACATAACTCTGGCCGCAGTCACGGCATCGGTAGGGTCGAGGGAGGGCCACGGGGGGCTGCGATGGGGGTGTGCGGCAGCGGCCAGGCAGAGAGGGCCGCGTGTCCCGGGGGGAGGAAGGGAGGGCAGGTGGGATGCTGGTGGGGAGGGGGGACCTGGCGTGTTACTCCCCCCCTCCCCTCCCCTCCCCTCCTTGTGAGCGGCCCATGGACCCTGCCCAGAGTGGGCTGTGCACGGCCCTCCCAGAGGGGGCGGCTCCTTCCGTCCCCTTCCCATCGGCTCTTGCTGGAGGTGCGGATGCTCGTGTGATCGGCACCTCCACCTAATCCACGGGACCTCGCCGGAACCTCGCCGGGATGTCTGATCCCGCTGCCGCGAGGTATGTTGCCCCAGTGCAAATAGCCACGCTCCCTCCCCGCAGTTTCCTGCCCGTGTGACCGCAACCTCTAGTGTGTTTCCTATGACTTGGTAGCAATACTTTAAAATAAAACCTCTTGAATTTTCCCCTGCATTCTAGAGTTCCACATTACTTTGCCCTCATTTCCAAAATGGAACTGAGGCATCCGGAATCCTCTTTTTTAATTTCTGGGTTTTGTACAGGGCACTTTGTCCGTGAGGTTTTCCACAACTACCCATTCATTCAGGTCCTTTGTGTCTTTTTTGCCTTCTTTCCACTTCCGATATCCATGTTCTCAATGATTGAACACTGCTAAACAAGCAATGTGGCTGTGATTATACACTGGGATGCATCAAGATTCGTTTTGTGAAGTGTTTTACCAACATGTAGAAGAGCATGCACGGATTGGTAAAACACAGCAAGAATCTGCATGCGATTGTACATACAATCATGTCTATTTCTATCAATATAAATTCCAATATTAATTTTAGAGCTTCCCCATGTTAAACTGGAATTGGGGGGTAGAATGCAGGGAGGGGCATTAAAGAGTAGGAGTCAATGGACAGTTCTCACAATGGAGGGAAGTAAGAAGTGGGGTCCCACAATGATCGGTATCGGGGCCGGTACTATTTCTTTATCAGTGATCTGGACCTGGGGATGAGTAGCATAGTGGCCAGGTTTGCAGATGACGCCCAGTTATTCAGGACGGTGAAAACCAAGTATGTCTGTGAAGAGCTCCACAAGGACCTCCATAAACTGGATGAGTGGGCAACGATGTGGTAAATGAAGTTCAATGCTGGTAAGCATAAGGAGCCGCACATTAGGACAAAAATCCCAACTTCAAGGATAGGCGACTGGGGTCTGAACTTGCTGAGGCTAAACGGGAGAAAGATCTTGAGGTCATAGAGGATACCTCAGTGAAACTGTCAACCCAGGGAGCTGCAGCGGTGAAAAAGGCAAACTCTGTGTTGGGGATTATTAGGAAAGGGATTGAAAATAAAATGGCTGATTTGTGTGTGTGTGTGTCTGCACCTGGAAGTCATGTCGACTTTTGGTGACTGACCTCTATTGGCGGCCTGGAGGATATTCAGAGAGGCGGCTGAACAAAACCTGCCCTTGTCTTCCCGACTTGGTATTCCACGGAAGTCTCCTACCCAAGTACTAACCAGAGTTGTCCCTGCTTAGCTTCTGAGATCTGATGAGAGGGGGCTTGCCTGGGCTATCCAGGTCAGAGCAAAACGGCCCCTACTGTGATGCCCCCGTATAGATCTACGGTGTGGCCTCATTTGGAATACTGTGGTCACTGTACCTCTCTCTTTTTTAAAATAACATTTTATTTTTAACTAAGACAAATGAACATACACAAATCGGGGGGTTCTATTTCATCATTAAAGCATTTAGTTATGTATCTCATACAATGTCTAAATATCTACTTTCTATTCTCCATCTTATTTTTAATGTATATTCTTTTGCAATTGATTTAAAATAAAGTTCCTGTTCCTTTCAAATTGGTTATGTGTCAGTCTAATTGATAGGATCTTAAAAAAACTGTATAGTCTCTCTTGTCCAAAGGGTGTTGACCTTCCTCTCTTGAAAATAAGTGCAATCTCACAGAGAGTTTTAACCATGTTTGTAGGATTTCATCCTCTTCTTCATTCTCTTGTTTCTCCTCTTAAGTTTTAAAGTCTTCATTCTGTGTCTGTTCCCCTTGGATGTCAGGAAAATAACTTCTGGAAGTAGTCCTCTATATTCAATTCTTTGAATGGTTTGAGGTTCCATATGTTCTTTATTTTCCTCTCTTTGAAGGAAAATTTCATTTTCTGCTGTAAGGATTTAATCTCTTCTCATTCTTTCACATAATCTCACATTCACTTCTCCAAGCATTTTGTTTCTTTTTGTATACGTTGAGTTCATTCTGTAGGCCATGTCATTTTGCTTGCAGACTTCATCTGTATTTTCTGTATCCATATCTCTCACAAAGATGTATGCCCTGTCAGTTTGCTCTTTCGGCTGGTTGATCTTCTGCTGTAGAAGCAAGTCTATCTTAGATTGCATAGAGTCCAGAGCCATTTTTACAGCTTTTCTACTGTGACTGTTTCTTGTAAAAAAACCCTGGAGATCTGTAACCATTGGTGTTAGAACATTTTTTCTTTCTTCTACCCCAGCCATTTTAAAATATTGAGTTAAAAACAGAGAATCTCTCCAGCTCTGTCAATAAGATCTCTACAATCACAGAGCTTTCTATGCTTACCCAATTACATTAAAAACAAGAAGGTTCCCAGGCAAGGCAGACAGTCTTATCATTTAGTTGTAATACAGACTTATCAGTTGTTTACAAGAACCTCAAAACGTAATATACAATTTTCAACAAACTGCAAAAGTGTACA